TTACTTTAATGCCCATCTATAACAAGTCCCTCTCTGTAAACATACCAAGTTTCAAGCCAATCGGACTAGTACTTCAGAAGATAAAGGGCTTAAAAAATCGCAATTAATGTTACGTTACTTGGCGTTTGCTTGTGGTGTAAATCGAGGACACACACGTGCAACACCATCGGTGAATCGACGACAGGAACCAAATCGAGGATGACCTCGATTAGAAAACGTGTACAAAACCAATGAAAGCTGTTTCGAAAAAGTTAGTGTACAAACAAAGGAAAAGGGAAGAGGAACAAAAGTAAATGCTCCATGTACACCATAAACAACGTGGGAGCACATGATGATGTTATCATTACGTCAGTGTTCGGTAATCGTGTTCCAGTGGTAGTAAATGTGTATGAAAAAAATTGAAGTCAATCGGATTTGTACAAGTGTAAAAAGTTGTCTGTAGTTAGAAACGTGTACGAAATCTATGGAGAAAAGAGGGGAAAAACACTAGACAATTTCGGCTCGTTGCCGAAGCAGCTAACTTATTACTCTGCGCATTGAAACAATGATGCTATAGTTGGGGCTGAATACTATGATTTTGATCTGCTCCATTTTGAGCAATATCTCAGGAAACCGTGAGCAGCGCATGAAAGCGGGTAATGCATGAACCAATGAGAAATCCTGACTGATTTTGCCGTTTTCGATTTAACAAAATATCGTCTCAAAAAGCAACAAGGAATCCAAGTTGTAAAAAGCCAGAAATCGATATGTAAATGTGCGGCACCGGATGTGAACTGAAGCTTCTTCCGGTAATAAACAACCCGTGAAGCAATCAAGGTTTGTCTAGATATGGCCATCCCATAAACACTAGAAGAAATGAATCTATAGAAAACGATATGCAGCAAGTTACAATCCGCACAAAATTAATATTGCAGATTGCAATTTGATTTTACGTTAAAGAACTGTTCGTACCAAGGAACGAACAATTTGTCAGGCTTTACTACTCCAGCAAAAGGGCGGATGGGGGGAGACGGGGGCTAACCTCCCCCCCCCCCCCCCAGAAGAAAATAAATAAATAAATATATTAAACGAACCTAATTGTTTTCTTGTAAGGTGACGTCGCAATGAAGGCAGGCTCTGCGTCCATCATCTTTTTTCAAAAAATAAAATTGATTATCGTGGTCAGAAATTGCCTCAGATCGTACCACAGAGCATCTAGATTCCCCCCGCCCCGAAAAAAATTGTGTTCTGGATCCGCCCTTGCTCCAGCGGGGGCGGATCAAGGACTTTTGGTAAGGGGGGTCAGACCCATTAGATTGCTTTATGTCCGATTGTTGCGGACAGACAGACATATAGATGATTATTTTTACTATAATTTTTTTGTGTGTGTCAAAGCAGGGAAGGGGGGTTCGACCTCCAAAACCCCTCTTTGGATCCGCGCCTGTCACGGTCCAGCTTCTCAATGCCAGGTATTCAACACATTTACGGGTTCCGAATTTATAAAGCTAAACGCTTTTATAAAAATCTAATAGACAAAACATCAGTGTCTTTGCTGTGTATATTTATTTATTTTTTGAAATGAGCAAAACAAACATATTTGAACCGACAATGTCTTAGAGTTACCATCATTCTAATAGATTGAAACTAACACACTCGAACTGTTGACGGAACCCTGCATAAAGGCCGGTTCATACTCGGCACAAAAGCGAATGCGAACGTGAAAATGTGACATCACGGTAAGTATTCATGCTGCGAATTCAAAAAAGTGAACACATTTAAACTTGCAAATTCACTTGATAAATTATCTTTGCATTTGCATTCGCGTAAAGAGTGAACCCGCCTTCAATATTGAACTTTTTCCCCGAACAAAGTTTTTACATGTTTTTCTCTTTCTCAAAAATCTCAAATAAGGCATATCTTACAAAACAACAATCACGAATTCAGGTGCATTGATGTCGTTATTTTTATATGTCGTTATATTGTTAAATATGAAATTTGTCACTTTAGTGTCATGACATTTTGTTGCATTCAAATAATGAAACATTATTCCAGATATTTAGTTTGCTTATCAGTACCATGACATTGCATTCCACGACTTAACGAATTCGGATAATACAGAGCTAAACAATTTCATAAAATTTAAGTATAACTGTACTTAAACTGTTTTCAAGAACAAAAACGAAATAAGGTGTAATACGATAACATTTCAACCAAAAGGTTTTAAAATACCCCAAAAGATTGAGACAAACTCTCATACTAAAAAGGTGTTATGTACCTTTACGGAAACAAACATTTTCACCAAACACAATTTTAAAATTGTTCTTTTCTTATATACTAAGTATACAGCCAATGCAATGCTCAAGTGCATTTGTTTTTAAAATTTTAAACGCGTTGAATAGTCACATTTGTCATATTTAGTGCCACAATTATTTATATTAGTGCATTGAAATAATTAATGATATTAAAAGATCAAATTGGTTTTGCTAATACTATCTTTATACGTCACAAGTATTTACATTATATTGATATGAACAAGGATTCTCTATATACATATTGTATTGAAATGTATGTCTAGGTCACAAATAAGGTCAACCGAAACTTATAATTTGATTTAAATTTCCAGTAAACCCGAATCTGCATCTGTACTGATGGCATCACACTTTGTTTACGTGTGTGCTTTTCTGTGCTTCTAAGAATCCGTCATCCCAACCAGGTTCCCATATGAAAGCACACATGTAAACAGAGTGCGACGTCATCAGTACATATAGGCTTACTGTTCAGGTGTTTAGGTTGCGCCATTGTTTTTGTTTGTTTGTTTTTTCCTGTTTTTTTATGTGTTTGTTTTCTGTTTCTTTTTGTTTGCATTTAGATAGTTACCTTAGGCTACTTTCTAGCTTTTGTTTTACATCAGCGAGGTCCAACGACAAAGGCTAATAATTCAGCTGATTACATGTACAACACGAATGAAATTGAATTACAAAACACAGGCTATTTTAAAACATGTTTCTAACGAATTCTAAAAAAAAAACACCTGGGCTATGGCGTATCATATTATTTGGTAATAATTACATGTCTTTGTTTTATATATATATTTTTTTTTTTTTAAATAATGATTAAAGTGAGCAAAACAAACATATTTGAACCGACAATCTATTGGAGTTATCATCATTCGAAATGATTGAAACTAACACACTCCAACTGTTGACGAACCCTGCGTAAAGGCCGGTTCACACTCGCCACAAAAGCGAATGCGAACGTGAAAATGTGACATCACGGCAAGTATTCGTGCTGCGAATATGAAAAAAAAGTTTAACACATTAATCTTGCAAATTCACTTATTAAAATTCACTTTGCATTTGCATTCGCGTGAAGAATGAACCGGCCTTCATTGTTGAACTTTGTCCCCGAACACAGTTTTACATGTTCTTCTCTTTCTCAATTATAAAGGCATATAAAACAGAGCAACAATCACGAAATCAGATGCATTGTTGTAATTTTGCCTGCGGTAGATATTACATTTGTCACTTTAGTGTCGTGACATTTTTGTTGAATTCAAATAATGAAATATTATTTCAGATAATTAGTTTGCTCATCAGTACTACGACATTGCATTCTTTGACTATACGAATTCTGATTATACAGAGCTAAACAATGTCTTAAAAGAGTTAGTATAACTGTACCTAAACTTTCTTCAAGAAAAGAACGACATGAGGAGTAATACGATAACATTTAAACCGAAAGGTTTTAAATACCCCCAAAAGATTGAGACACTCATACTAAAAAGGTATTATGTACCTCTACGGAACTTTTCACAGAACACAATTTCAAAATTAGTATTTTTTTTTTCTTTTCTTACACACTAAGCACACAAACAATGCAATGTTCAGACGCATTTGTTTGGCATAATTTTGATCGCGTTAAATAGTCAAATCTGTTATAGTTAGTGCCACCATTATCAATATTTGTGCATTGAAATAATTAATGATAATAAAAGATGAAATTGATTTGCTAACACTGTGTTTATACGGTACAATTATTTACAATATATTTATGTGAACAAGGATTCTCAATATACAAATTGTATTGAAATGTATGTCTAGGTCACAACTAAGGTCAACCGAAACTTATAATTTGATTTGAATTTACAGTCAACTTGAATCTGCATCCGTACTGATGGCATCAAACCTTGTTTACCTGTGCGCTTTTCTGTGGTTCTACGAAACTGTCATCCAAACCAGGTTCCCATATGAAAGCACACATGTAAACAGAGTGCGACGTCATCAGTACACACTGGCTTATTGTTCATGTGTTTTGGTTGTGTCCTTGTTTTTGTTTATGTGTTGTTTTCCTGTTTCCATTTGTTTGTTGGGTTGTTGGGGTGTTTGTTTGTTTGTTTGTTTGTTTGTGTTTCTGTTTGTTTTCTTTTACTGTTATCTACTTTCTAGCTTTTTTTACAGCAGCGAGGTTAACACTAATTAAGCTTAATACATCAAAAATGAAAATGAATTTCTAAACACACGCTATTTTTAAGCCAAAATTGTTCGAAAGTATTCTTGGGAAAAAAAGTCCTCCGCCTGTGCTATGGCACATCATATGGCTTTATATTTGGTCATAATTACCTGTATGCGGTATGTTTTATCAAATCGATTTCAAACGGTTAACATTTGTTACCCAATAATTGCAACCCGGACTACGAATATTGTGCATATTATTCAGTTGTTACATATTTCACAGTATGTTTATTAGTATGACTGTCACGACCTTATTGAATTATCCTCTTTGAATATCACCAAAAAAGGTCATAGTTCTATCGCACCCATGTTGCCATAGACCTTATGCATTCCAGCTACCTCAGATGTGTTCTTTGTTGTTTTAAGCTAGTAACACTTATACACAATGGTATACTCCTGCCTGTCCAAGAGGTACCAAACCATTGCCGTCTGGCTCTGCGTTAGGTCAAATGTATATCGTAATGCAATCTTGCCAAAACGAAAGTTCAAAATACCACTGATTCAGCCCAATCAATCACGGCGACATCCAAGCAACTCAAATTGCAGACGGACCCAGCGTTGCCATTCGGTAGGCTCAATGCGCACTACGGTCGCCACCACACTCTGATCCAACATGTTAGTGACCGGGGTGTGGCCATCAGTGTTACCCATGAACACCTGCAACAGAAACATACGAATACAGGTTTTATCTTTATAACTGTGAAAATATTGGAAGAAGGGAGACACTTTCTTGGAGATTAGTTGGAAATAAATCCTTCATAATGTTATCAGTACCCGTACGCACTTCGTTGGGGAGGATCACTGACAGACCATTTCTCGGCGAAAGGTAGCCAGGAATTTGTCTGCGCTCACCCAGCCGCCACAATACAAAACAGAGGCAAGGGGGCTGCATACAACGTATGGCTGTTCTCAATTAGGTACTATATACGTGGGTGCTCTTCAAAGCGAGCAATTTTTAATTTCGTTTCATTGGTAATATTGGATAAAAGAGGGTGATGGGGTAATTCCACTCGTAGCGGTTGACGGGTACGTGGATGCTTTGATTTGATAATACAAAAAGGTGGGCTAAAAAGAAAGAAAATTCTGATCAATCTACCTTGGCGTTTCCGTTTGCATCTGTCACATATGTGGAATCGGATGTGGACTGATTCCTAAATGCCACTTTGTATTTCGTTACATATCCAGGATACGCGCTGTTTCTCCGGCTTTTTGTGATAACGCCAGACACCACACAACTGTTCGCCAGGTCCACCTCGATCCAGGAACCTTCATTTCTGTGTACACAGAGTGGATGGAGGTGAGGAACAATGAAATAAACATGCTCCGCAAAAATAACACCCGCTTTTATCAGGAGAGGGATTGACAAAAAACTGAACGCGATTAACCTATTGAAGCCATTTCAAAACGTTTAATCTCAATGTGTCAACACTTTTTATATTAATGTTACTAGTGGAGTTCATTAAGCTTGATCAGTACTATTTTGACTTTTATCCGAACAAAAATTATTCTTTCCAATTGAAATCTTTCTACAAATGCAGAACTTACTCAATTTTGAATGAGTCATTAGACAAATATTTCGGCCTTCTTCTATTGAAGGAATAATTACGAAATAAATGTCCAATTAATTGCTGCCCGAAAATAATGAAGTTGTTTCAGGGTATACTGGTTTCCGCCCCTCCTATCAGATTCGATAGTGTAGGGACCGGGAAACCGTACTTGCAGGGCAACCTTTAAAAAACAGTAATTGAGGGAGTAGCAGACATATTAAATAAACAAAAAGTAGTTGATTTCGTTAAATAAACTTCTCTGTCGGCTAGGACCAAAATAAAATCAGATCGAATGAAATGTCTTCCGTCTTTGTAAGGTCAAATATGGATGTAAGTGTCGGGTGTAATTTGTGGTAGCTAACGATGGTTTCCTTTGATACCTACCTCCATGGTACCCATGCACCGCCACTGTTCAGCCGTCCCTTCTGGGGTGTGCAACATGAAAGATCAACAAAGCTGGACGCCGTGATGTGATCATCAGGGATTGTCCCGTCCTCCATACCAAGAGGCTCTGAACACTCAGCTGTTGCTGCCAAGCAAGAGTACAACCCATATCATTGTTTAAATATCAAATCGCACCCCCCCCCCCCCTTCACAATTTGTTAATAGTTTTGTTGGGGGGGGGCATCGCAAACTGACACTTTGTGTTATGTGGTCAGCTAACCCAGATTGACCCGTGCGTGTGTAAATGATATTGTCGTCGGCTGATTCAGGTATTAGTATATGAACGCATTCCTAGATTGAAATGAATTCCATTTTAATTTGCAAAGCACGGGCGTAAATCATGGGGGATCTATGTGCGCCTCCACTTTTCGGCTGGGGACGGAGACTCTCCAACGGCAGTAGGATAGTCTTGGCCCAAGATTGGATTTGCTTTTTGTTTCCCCACCGCAGGTAGCACCTTTTATTCTGCAGGCTACTGAAGGCATTTACGTTAATACACATGCGTGAAAAAACATGCGTGATTTAATAAGCAGTCACGTGATTTGAATTTGATTTTACGGGGGAAGCGTGGCATCACCTTGAACTGATGCGTTAGGTCCATATAGCTCTAAGGTTAGGTCGCTTTTCATAATGCTACAGGTTGCGGATTCGAATCCGGGGAATTTCACTTTTTCATATCACCCAAAAATACAATGTCTTTCTTAAATTGTGTTTAATGAATGCTGATCAATGAACTACATTTCACCATGTTCTTTTGATTCACACTATGCATTTTTGTTGAGAAAACAAATCCCCAAAAGTTGGGAACTGAAGAACGTTTTCCAGGGACGTTGGCGTCGCAATGCGTATTTCTTTTTTTCAAAGCCGTTTTTCTCGAAGTGGGGTTGGCGAAATTCGGCGGGACACTGTTGAAGTTCCCGTAGCATAACTTTGGAAAAAGATTAAAGCTACAGAAATGAATTTGGTATCATTGGAAAGCCAATGATTTGCGGTTTAACATGATGAAGGTAACTTGAAAAGTCAAAGGTGGGGGTAATTCCTCATTATGATATGGCAGGTCACAAATGCTCACATCACGGAAATTCAGTATTCGAAACAATCCAAGGAAGACTGGGCTACTCCTGAAGTGTAAGACAGTTTGTACATGAAGGACGTTTTACTTTACGGTAAATCCTTCACAAGCCTTATACAGCCCAGTTTTAAAATAAAGCAAATGTTTAATGATTTCAATTCTCATGAATCCTATAATACACGTTGCAGAGTTTAAAATGAAAAACAAATTGAGCACCTTTCGTTTTTTCGAAAATACGATGCACGTGAAAAGAAGCAGTAATTGCAGACTATAATACGGTAGACAGGTGAAACTTCGCTGCACGACTTTTGACCGTAAATTTTACGGGCATTTTCTTTTACAGTGTAGTTTGAAATGGAGCAGTAATTACAGCCGGAATATTACCTGTACTAACTGCAGTCGTTTGACTAACTGTAGTCGGGCGACCAGCATTAGTCGTTCCACTAGCAGTAGTTGTTCCACCAGCAGTAGTCGCTCCACCAGCAGTAGTCGCTCCACCAGCAGAAGTCGTTCCACCAGCAGAAGTCGTTCCACTAGCAGAGGTCGGTCCACTAGCAGTAGTCGCTCCACCAGCAGAAGTCGTTCCACCAGCAGAAGTCGGTCCACTAGCAGAAGTCGTTCCACCAGCAGAAGTCGGTCCACCAGCAGCAGTCGTTCCACCAGCAGAAGTCGGTCCACTAGCAGTAGTCGGTCCACTAGCAGTAGTCACTCCACCAGCAGAAGTCGGTCCACCAGCAGAAGTCGTTTCACCAGCAGAAGTCGGTCCACTAGCAGTAGTCGGTCCACTAGCAGTAGTCGGTCCGTTAGCAGTAGTCGCTCCACCAGCAGAAGTCGTTCCACCAGCAGAAGTCGTTCCACGAGCAGAAGTCGGTCCACTAGCAGTAGTCGGTCCACTAGCAGTAGTCGCTCCACCAGCAGAAGTCGTTCCACCAGCAGAAGTCGGTCCACTAGCAGTAGTCGGTCCACTAGCAGTAGTCGTTCCACCAGCAGTAGTCGCTCCACCAGCAGAAGTCGGTCCACCAGCAGTAGTCGTTCCGCTAGCAGAGGTCGGTCCACTAGCAGTAGTCGCTCCATCAGCAGTAGTCGCTCCACTAGCAGTAGTCGTTCCACTAGCAGCAGTCGTCCGACTGCACTTGAAGTAAGCTTGAATTTTGTCGGAGTCCTCACTCAGGAAGAGCTCCTTCAGGTAGTGGGGCGCCCCCTGGCGGTATGACGAGGCAGGAATATTTACGCCACCGAGACGTAGAGCGGTGCATTCGCACGGATCTTTGTACGGCAGGAACCAACGGGGTGGGATACCAGCTTGGGGGTTGTACTCCGATCCAATGAAGCAGACTTTGTGGCATGAGGCCAACACTACAGTTTTCGTAAACATGCACGCAAAAAAAGAAGAAGAAAAAAAATATGTCAATGTTAAGGTTAGTTTTGTGGTGCAACATTAATAGCATGTACCATTGGTGACCAAGGTTCGAATACCAATGGGCACATCTTGTGGATTTGATAATGTCCGTTACTCCGTTTTTCGGTTTTCCTTCGAAACTCCACCTTGGGCTTTTAAACTTAGTGAAAGTCGCCGATGCGTCAGGACTTTTAGTTTTTCAATTTATCGTTACTGAATGTTTTCCTCATAAAAGAATTATCTAATATCAGAACAATCCCATCTTGACTGTATTTGAAGCGTACTCAGCGAATGATTCGAATTCATATGCAAAATATAAAGACCCCGCCCCCACCACCAAGTCGTGAAAATGATTGATGCCTGCCCAGTGATAACCAAAATGCCAACAGTACTATGAGTCCAATGACACAAGAAATGAATGTAACAAACATTCAAATGCAAACCATGGAAACAGTTTTTTTCACATACAAAATAGGGTGGATGGTTAAAGCGCCCTCTCGCTATAGATCTATTGCAACCAATATCATTAATTTCGGTCATGTACAAATTACTTGACTACGACTAGCAATAACACACAGTCTATGGGAAGTGGCTGCAGCCGCTTCCGTAGGCGCATGTGTAATTTCTTGTCGCAGCCAAGTAATTGCGACGCAGCCTTATTGCAAAGTGGTGAAAAGGATTATACCGCCACCCAGTGATAACAAAGCGAGGTGCTAAAGTTTAAACGATTAGTCAAATGACACCAACAATCGAACTGAACAAATATTTGAATTCAGACTAAGTTGGATTTTTGAAGCACCCTCTCACAGTAAATCTAACGGAACAATAAAAATAATGTCCAAAGTGATGAGAAGGATTCATACCGCCCCCTAGTAATAAAGTATTGAAAGTTTGAAAGATGAGCTTCATTCTAAAGAATTCTATCATTGGAATGCCAAAAAAATGGAAACAATGTTTGCCATACAAAACGAAGTGGATGGGTCCAAAGCCCTCTCGCGGTAAATCCAACGCAACACAATTATCGTTATTTCCGAAGTGGTGAAAAGGATTTTACCGCCCTTCTAGTGGTAACCAAGGTGCCGAAAATTTGAAAGATGAGCATCTTTCATATTGGAAAGCAAAATATGGAAATATTTTCCCCCATACAAAGCAGAGTAGATGAGTTAAGCGCTCTCTTGCGATAAATCTAAAGCATCACAATATCAATATCTTTGTTACTTGTTACTTTGACACAAAAAGTTGCGTGATGAGTAATCAAAGAGCTCCCAATACAACGTTTGGTGAATTCGAATTAATTAACTCTGATTACTCAGAAGGAAAGAGTCCTGTACAGGTTTATGAATTATCTGTAACATTCTAGAGCTGATGTCATTGCAATCAACCTGAGCCGTTGGTCAGTCCAATTTGAATGGGGGTCGGAGTGTGACAACAATTTGCCAATAGGCCATTCCTGCTGGAATGTAATTTTCTCCGATCACCGGGCTGCCGCAAAATTATTTAAAACATGGAGGAGTGACATCTACTTTTGTTTCGGGTTTGAGGGTGGGAGAGGGGCTGTTCAAAGAACTTTGATACTATATAGGACAACAGGTGGCGCTATACATGACGGCATAATTTACCGAGTGACACACGAATGTGGTCGACAGTACGAGGATTTTACCGACAACAAATTTTAATTGCCACACCCGTCACACTACCTCAACCTCCCTCCATCAACGCCCGTGCTGTTCTGTATTTTATTTTGGTGGCTGATCGACCGACAGAGGCTCTAAATGCCGACTGGATAATTATTGGGGTGGAGGTTTCACTCAGCACCAGCCCCTCCCCAGTTCCCTAATTTTATATACGGCCCTGATTAATCAAAAACAGTATGCAATTGGTCGGACTGGCGTTGGAGTATAACACGGCACAAAAAAAACACCGGTCAATGCCTATGTGCATCCTCGAAACACATACCACTTCCTCTCTAGCTCTCCGACTATGAAAAAAATAATATCTTTTCGGAGGAAGAAATTTGCATTTCGTCTTTCAAGCAATGACGACTTAATGTTTTACACAATTTTGTGTCCAATGTGTTTTTTCTTAAAACTGCATGGTGGTGCAGGCTGAATCCTTAGATGGGCAGGTCGAGTGCAGTCTGTCATTTTTGGATTAGTACAAAACAGGGATTGAAAAAAACGAATTCATTTGTAATTGCCAGGAAATACTTGGAAGTTTTTCAACACTGCAAATGGACTTCGTCCACATTCACCAAAGTGGCGTTTGGATACTACGTGTTATTTCTGGTTATCGAGTAAACTTCTTCACAGAGCAAACTTCCACCTACCTGTCAGTGCTGATGCCATCAGAATCCAAGCTACTACTCGGGAAACATATACCTCCAAAAAACAAGACTTGCTAAACATATACATCCGAAAAACAAGATTCACCAAACATATTCATCCGAAAAACAAGATTCCCCAAACATATACATCCGAAAAACAAGATTCGCCAAAGTGGCGTTTGGATGCTACGTGTTATTTCTGGTTATCAAAATAAACTTCTTCACAGATCAAACTTCCACCTACCTGTCAGTGCTGATACCATCAGAATCCAAGCTACTGCTCCGTCCATTGTCACAGATGCAATGATCCAGAATCCGTCAGGTTGATGGTATATCAACGGGCACAAAAAACACCCCAGCTCGCCCCGGCAGCTGCGCTTCACAGACAGCTAAACAGGAAGACGTTATAACCAGCCAGCCAATCAGGAAAGAACACGAACTAGATCAATCATATTCTTGTCTCTTATTGGTGCACGTTAACAAGATGGGCGGGGTTTAGGTGGGAGCGGGCAATATTGCAATCAATTATCTTAGTTGACACTTTTATTTATCAATTTTCAACACCGGAGTACCTGTGTGAGATATTGATGTGAATGCGACATGTTGACGACGCAATATAGTATTAGAGTGGCCATTACACCCTTTGTGACACTCACAGTGCGTGATTCAATAGCCTAGATTTTCCGACGACTTTTGTTTCGGGATTTCAGGGAAAGTGTTGGGGAGTGGGGAGGACATGCTTCCCATGATCGCCAGGAATGTCAGAAATCACCGGTAGTATAAATATTGAGAAGGGGGGGGGGGGGCAGATTGGTGGAAGTGGGGGCTGAGGTGGTGATTGTGAGGGTAAGACACATTTTTTCTCTTGTTTTAGTAGGTTCAAAATTTGAATTGGGGTATTCGTGTTGCCGCGGTGTTTTTATTAAATATGGATGTATTTTAAAAGATAATATTGTTTTGACCAGTTTCTTTTAATTCTGTTTCGATTGTCCTCCTTATCCTAGCTCTAGCGACGTCCATGCTTGAGTCATTCGTATCTGGATTAACAAGAAAAGAGGAATAATATCCCAATGAAACGTTGGGCAATATTTTGGAAGCTGCGGGCCAACGAATTCATGTTTGAAAAAAAAACCAGGTTTTTGGCCCCGGTATTAACCCCAAGGTGACCTTTGACCCCAGTTTGGTCATTTGACATGTTGGGGCTGGGCTACTGATACTTTTGACAAAGTTTGGTTGAAATCGTTTAGAATTTGTAGGAGCAATAGACTAGGCAACTGTCAACGCTTTTACAAACTAACTAACTAACGATGATTTGTTGAGCTGCTACACGCAGCTAAAATAAAAACGCCAAAAAAAAAAATCCGCGTCGTGGCATGTAATAATAAATGGTGCTATCTCTCGTGACAATGTGTCATTAGTTATTTAGTATTTACAGGAATACACATAAAAGAACCGATCCACCGACCACCTGTTTTCTGCCTCGTATCTGCTAATTGTTTATTTTTAATGGGAAGAAATTAATTTTGCTACCTCTATTCTTCCGTAATTGAGTAATTCACTGAAGCGCAGTGCCGAGAGAAATGAAGGATTTAAGAGCTTCACTTTGTTTGTTTTTATTATTCGTTCACCGCGACAGAGTACGCGTAACCTTCGTCGCGTCTCTTAAGTACAGTACATGGAGTTATGCAAAAGTATCTGCAGGTTCATGCCAATAAACTCTTCTTGCATTTCTATCATATTACACGCATTGACCAATCAGATCACGGCTTTTGGTCAGGTGACCACTGGAGCTAGTTCTAAACTCGGTCCTAACCAATGAGAGAAACGTATACCAATCATATGTGGGTGGAGCTCAAGGCCACAATACACAATACGGGCGATTCCAAATAGTGCGCCTCCAAGAGATTGCAGCGCGTTGGCCAATCACCATTCGCGAAATCAGTCGACCTTTTCCAAACGGGCGTTGGGTCGACAGATTTTGCGCATTGTGATTGGCCAACGCGTTGCAAACTCTTGGAGGCGCACTATTGGGAATCGCCCGTATTACGGTCCAGTCGCGGCCATGTAACCAGTAGCATTCAGTCAAAGTTATTTCAGTTGAAGATTACTAATCATGCATGTTTTGTTTTGTTATGTATTTCATTGTTCTTTCCAGCACGTAATTATTACAGACTATAGAGAACGGCATGGCATGATCGGCGTCGTTGTTTGATTTATTTTGTTAAAATCTATGTGCTCTTTGAAAACAGAAATTGAGATGTGGTCGGGGCATCACCGCTTTGGCGTCCCCCGCCAAAAGTGTTGCTGGGCAGGCACGGTTCTACAGGGGGGCTAGGGGGGGGGGCTTTTTTTTTTTCTAGCCCCCAAAAATAAATTCCGTTAAAAAAAAATTTGCATTAGCAAAAAGAAGGATTATGATGTACATGCAAACGGTCTCCCCCTAAAAAAAATAGTCGTGACAAAAGGGTGCATTAGTGAATATAGTGTGAATGATTTTAGGATTTTATTGGCGCTCCCCATTAAAAATATGGCATGAGGCCCCCCCCCCCCCTCCACCTATTGATTTTCGGAGGCCTAAGTGTCTGGAAAAATAACCGGTCTACATTTCAGCACGCCTTCCTGAAAAAATTCTTTGGATCCACCCTGCTAGCCCCCCCCCCCCCAAAAATATTGGTTCTAGAACCGCGCCGGTTGCTGGGGAGTGGGTAGGACATGCTTCAACTACCCCGATCGCAAGGAATGTCAGAAATCACCAGCAGTATAAATATTGAGAAGGGGAGGGGATAGATTGGTGGAGGTGGGGCTGAGGTGGTGATTGTGAGGGTGAGACACATTCTCTTGTTTTTGTTGGTTCAAAATTTATTTTGGGGTATTCGTGTTGCCGCGGTGTTTTTTTTATTAAATATGGATCTATTTAACTAAGATAATATTGTTTTGACCACTCTCTTTTAATTCTGTTTTGATTTTCCTTCTTATCCTGGCTCTCGTGACGTCCATGCTTACTCATTACGTCATTAGTATCTGGATTCACAAGAAAAGAGGAATAATATCCCCTATGAAACGTTAGGAAATATCTCGGAAGCTGCGGGCCAACGAATTCATGTTTGAAAAAAAAGAAAGTTTTTTGGCCCGGTATTAAACCCATGGTGACCTTGACCCCAGTTTGGTCATGTGACATGTTGGGGCTGGGCTACTGATACTTTTGATAAAGTTTGGTTGAAATCGTTTAGAATTTGTAGGAGCAATAGACTAGGCAACTGTCAACGCTTTTCCAAACTAACTAACTAACGATGATTTGTTGTGCTGCTATCACGCAGCTAAAATAAAAACGCCAAAAAAAAAATCCGCGTCGTGGCATGTCATTAGTTATTTAGTATTTACAGGAATACACATAAAGAACCGATCCACCGACCACCTGTTTTCTGCCTCGTATCTGCTAATTGTTTATTTTTAATGGGAAGAAATTAATTTTGCTACGTTTATTCTTCCGTAATTGTGTAATTCACTGAAGCGCAGTGCCGAGAGAAATGAATGATTTAAGAGCTTCACTTTGTTTGTTTTTATTATTCGTTCACCGCGACAGAGTACGCGTAACCTTCGTCGCGTCTCTTAAGTACAGTACATGGAGTTCTGCAAAAGTATCTGCAGGTTCATGCCAATAAACTCTTCTTGCATGTCTATCATATAACACGCATTGACCAATCAGATCACGGCTTGTGGTCAGGTGACCACTGGAGCTAGTTCTAAACTCGGTCCTAACCAATGAGAGAAACGTATACCAATCACATGTGGGTGGAGCTAAAGGCCATAATACACAATTACGGTCCAGTCGCGGCCATGTAACCGGTAGCAATCAGTCAAAGTTATTGCAGTTGAAGATTACTAATCATGCATGTTTTGTTTTTATGTATTTCATTGTTCTTTCCAGCACGTATTCAATACAGACTATGGAGAACGGCATGGCATGATCGGCGTCGTTGTTTGTGCCCAGCAGCACTGGTGGGAGGTGGGGGATCCTATGGGCAGCGGCGTTTCGAGGTGTTGAGTCTCGCGATCATCAGTTGTTGCCTAGTTCCAATTTGGTTGGTGTTGCGTACCAATTACATCTCTCGGTGACATTTTGTACACAATAGAATACAACCATTAACTGCCTGCCATCTGCCTCGTCGCTTCGACAAAATATTCAAATTAATTTCCCAAGCATGGAAAGAAATGAATTTAATTACCATCCATATATCAATTTTCATGACGTCTATTGGAATCTCCAGCCACAAATAATGCGTTGGTGTGGGGAGGGCTGGCTGTTCCCCATCGCATACCGTGTTAATATTTTCTAGAAAGGAGGGGGGCACATTCAAGTTCCGGTACCACGATAAACCTCAAGCAGTAGAAATACCAAGAGGGGAATGATGGGGATGGCGATGGGGATTGAGGTGTCTATGGGGTAATCGGCATTTGTCGCACGGAGTACTTGTACAAATTTTGTAATGAAGATATTCATGTAGCCCCGTTTTAAGCCTCTTGTCAACAGTTTGAGTTGCTACAATGTAATTGATAAGATGAAAATTGTTTGTGACCAACATTCGTTTGATACTATTACACTTTTCTGTAGGCTATGTTTTTATCCCCCTTGTTCTCACCCTCTGATGGCGACGCCCATACATAGGAGTATTTGGTTCATTACAGGAGAAAGAAGAGCAATACCCATACAAAAGTTGATCGTTGGTAAAATGTATGATAATATATACGTCGTTTTATCTCTTAGGTATCATTAATTATACGTTATTGTTGAAATTCACACAAAGGAACCAAGCTATTAACAGCCTGTTTTCTGCCTCGTGTCTGTTATTGGTTCCTTTTTAATGTAAAGAAATGAATTTTGCCACATTTATCCTCCATTATTGTGTTATTCACTGAAGCGCAGTGTCTAGAGAAATAAATGATTGAAGAGCTTTTCTCCGGTTTTTTTTACTATTAATTTTGTTCATCCGGCAGAGAACGCACAGGACTAACCCTCGCCGCATATCTGAAGTACATTACATGGAGTTTTACATAACAAAATGCATGTTCAAGTGAATAAACTTCAATATCGATCATTATAACACACTTACCAATAATATTAGCTCACGGCTTTTAGACAGTTGAACACTTGTAACTAGAGATATTGTAACTAGAGATAAACTTGGTTGCAACCAATTAGAGAACTGCATGAAAATCATGGGTGGGTGGTGATAATGACCATATAACGCAATGGCCCAGTGCCGGTGTCATATGAAAATCCGACTCCTGT